GACTATATAAGGCTGATGTCTCATCTCCATTTTGTCTTCAATCCTGCTTCATACCTCTGGAGGAACTTTGCTACAAGCTGAAGATTTGAACAAAGGACTGAGGACCCATCCCAGCGGGGGATGTATTCCAGAGACTTGATTTGAACCTGCAGTTTATTCTATCGCTGCTGCAAGCTTGAACCAAGAACTTTGCCATTACTGTATGTAATTGATTCCATTTAACCAATTCTAACTCTCATCTCTATCTTTTTCCTTTTATGAATAAACCTTTAGATTTTAGATTCTAAAGGATTGGCAACAGCGTCATTTGTGGGTAAGATCTGATTTGTATATTGACCTGGGTCTGGGGCTTGGTCCTTTGGGATCGGGAGAACCTTTTTCTTTTACTTGGGTATTGGTTTTCATAACCATTTGTCCCCATAATGAGTGGCACTGGTGGTGATACTGGGAAACCGGAGTGTCTACGGAGATTGCTTGTGAGACTTGCGGTTAGCCAGTGGGGTGAGACCGAAGTCCTCTTAGTCTGGCTGGTTTGGTTTGCCTTAGAGGTGGAAAAAACCACAGCCTTGGGGCTGTAACTGCCCTGTTTGAGCAATTTGTCCTGAGTTGGCACTCTCAGTTGGGTTCCACCAGAACCGCATCGTCACACCTCCTCAGGCAAGGATTTCCACAAGTTGACTGTGCGCTATGTGAAGAAGAACTTCCTTATATTTGTTTTAAACCTGCTGCCCATTACTTTCATTTGGTGGCCCCTAGTTCTTATATTATGGGAACAAGTAAATAACTTTTCCTTATTCACTTTCTCCACACCACTCATGCTTTTATATACTTCTATCATATCCCCCCTTAGTTTCCTCTTTTCCAAGATGAAAAGTCCTAGCCTCTTTAATCTCTCCTCATATGGGACCCGTTCCAAACCCCTAATCATATTAGTTGCCCTTTTCTGAACTTTTTCTAATGCCAGTATATCTTTTTTTAAATGAGGAGATGACATCTGTACACAGTATTCAAGATGTGGGCATACCATGGATTTATATAAGGGGAAGAAGATATTCACCGTCTTAGTCTCTATCTCTTTTTAATAATTCCTAACATCCTGTTTGCTTTTTTGACTGCTGCTGCACACTGCGTGGACGTCTTCAGAGAACTATCCATGATGACTCCAAGATCTCTTTCCTGATTAGTTGTAGCTTAGCTGTAGGTCAGCTGGAGCTATTTAGGGCTCCATTACCACACTGCAGTGCTTTCTGAACTGTACCTTCCCTGAGCCTGGCTGTACAACCTGGCTTCGCTCTGCCTTTGTGGTGAAATAGCAGAATGGAACAAAAGCCTCTTCCGCAGGTATTAGTAATGGGAGATTCGATCATTAGAAACATAGATAGCTGGGTTTGTGATGACTGGGAGAACCGTATGGTGACTTGCCTGCCTGGTGCGAAAGTTGCGGATCTCTCGAGGCATCTAGATACACTTATGTGTAGTGCTGGGGAGGAGCCAGTGGTCGTGGTACATGTAGGTACCAATGACATAGGGAAGGGTAGGAGAGATGTCCTGGCGGCCAAATTTAGGCTGCCAGGGAAGAGACTGAAATGCTCCCAGTTCCACGCGCAGGGCCAGGTAGGCAGGCAGAGCTTCAGAGTCTCAATGTGTGGATGAGACGATGGTGTAGAGAGGAGGGGTTTAGATTTATTAGGAACTGGGGAAACTTTTGGGATGGGGGAGCCTGTACAGGAGGGATGGGCTCCACCTAACCCAAAGTGGAACCAGACTGCTGGCACTTAACATTAAAAAGGTTGCAGAGCAGTTTTGTGATCTAGACAGAGAGGCAGACTACTGCACAGATTTCGGAACGCTTGCGATGACTTAATATCCTCTGGAATCTCTGTGGATGATTGAGAAAGGAGTGCAAAATGCTGCTCTGGTTGGCGGAGTCAGCTTGTAGATGGAGTGACGTGTTGCGAGGTGGACTGGATCAAACTTTATGATGACCAATGTCAGAGAAGGAAAGAATCTGCTGCTTGGATTCAGAGTATTGCTAGTGCTTGGTTGTGCCCTACCTGTGGATGGGACTGTCATTTGCTCGTCAGACTCAGCAGCCATCAAAGAACTCATCAGCGCATACACCATGCTCTGTAAAGAGTGACGGTACCATTAAATATTATTATAAGAGTGATGTTCCCCAGAAATCTGGTATATGACAGTGATGGGAGAGACCTCATGGCTTCCTTACAGTGCAATATGCCTGTAGCTGTTGACTTGTCTTTCCAAGAAATGTTGGCCTTTGGCCCCATGGTTAGGCTATCTTGTAAAAACACTAGAATGTCTTTAGCTTCAGCTGACTTTGCCGTGATGCGTGTCCCTTGTAACAGCAACATTGAAACTTCAAGTGGAGCATAGACAGCATTTGTGAATTTCCTCCAATTTGCTAGGAGGATGTTTATTGCCTTAGAATGAGTGACTGCAATTCTTTCCTCTCAGCTTCCCAGCTGACTGGTTAGATTTTGATTCAGGATAGGTCCCTGTTGCACTACATTTTGTGTGTGTGTTGAGATTTGAGGGGATGTTCCAGTAACATTTAAAACAGGTCTGGGAGCTAAGGTCTGAGAATTAATAAGGTAATTTATAATCACTGTGGCTTGTTCCTTCACTATCTTCTTTACCATCTCTACACTTAGTGGCTGAGGGGGGAAAAGGCATAAAGGAGGCCTTTTAGCCCTCTTCTGAGAACAAATTGCTGTTTGGAGAATCTTAGATGCCATGCTTCACATAAAAGCTATTGCAAGGAGCTGCCATCTAGCAGTGCTCAGAACAATTCTGGACTAGCAGTCTGATAAGGCAGCACAGCTAAAGAACTTGTTTAACTCCAAAAGTCTCATAAACTCTTGTGACTTTCTCCCAAATTGTTGCTCAGCCATTTTAAAGCAAACTTCCCCAAATCTGACCATTTACTTAGAGTGCTGCACTGGACAGGCTAGGGAGACAAATCACTGTTGTCTTATGAATTCTAAATCACTGAATTGTCATAGAATCTCAGGGTTAGAAGGGACCTCAGGAGGTCATCTAGTCCAACTTCCTGCTCAAAGCAGGACCAATCCCAGACAGATTTTTGCCCCCGCTCCCTAAATGCCTCCTCAAGGATTGAGCTCACAACCCTGGGTTTAGCAGGCCAATGCTCAAATCACTGAGCTATTCCTTCTCCCCAAATGTCAATGATATCTCCAAGGTTAATCTGTTTTCTAAATATTTTATTTCTTAAATACGAAAACATACATCCATGGAACACTGAGATTGTGGATTTAAACACAACTCAAGAAATCTAAAGGTAAGATTTTCACTGCAATATTGATTTGTCTATACAGAGTATAGATTAACACACTTATAAAAGCCTAACTAATAACAAAATACTACATATTTGCAATAAGAATCTGAATGTTTCTTCTGAGTTAGATGTAAAGATTTGCAACTTTAACACTGTATTTTAAGGACTAAAATAAAATTGAATAGAAACAAAAATAACCAGTCTAGTTTCCTTGCCAAAGATGAATGAAGTATAAACAAACAAATGCTGAAAGATGGAGATTTAAAATTATTTCAGTTACTTAACAGCTACAAATCTAACCATTTACAAATAATTTTCAATATCCCCATGTCCCTTTTTATCAGGCTTCACATAAGACTTTTAAAATTGTCTGTCTATTCCCCAAACTGCTAAAACACCACAGGCACTGATCTCTTATTTACCAATGTAAAATGCATCAGTTGTATGGCTTGTAAACAGTGTCAGTCAAGCTCTGTAGACTGATGCGATATGATGGACACAGTAACTGTGCTCTCTGTGTAATGAGAATATGGGTTTTCTCTCTCTGTCTCCATACTGATTAGGAGGCCTTGTCCATTATCAGAACTCATTGTCCGACTCTGCATCCCAGCCACAGGATTCCAGCTGCTCAACTTGTGGGAATTCAACCTCAACATTGTAGGTGAAATCTGGGTCATCCTTCTTCTTCCTGTTCTTTTCAAACAGCTCATCCATGATACTCTTCCTTTTCGCCAGTTCCTTGTCATCTAGTTTGTTCAGGTCCTCCTCTGGGTCAATGGTCTCTTCCTGCTGAATCTGCTCCAAGCTCTGGGCCAAACTCTTTCCCTGCAAGTGGCCTCTTAGCAAACTGTATAATTTCTGCAGCTGCTGCAGTGAGACCCCTTGTAGGTAAGCCTTGTGCCGAGGGTTATTCTTCAGCTGTTCTGCAGCCCTGCTGCAATCTGGAAAAAAAGCTCCCCCCCACACCCCGCAAGAATTACTGCCTCAAGCACACAATTCTTAAATAAATAAAATAAATAAATAAATGCTCTTTATCCAAAGATTCTCTGGGGTAAGTTGTTGCCCTAGGAGTGCCAGTATTCATTTTTAAACTAGACAGCTCAGATTGGGAAGCTTCCTGGCTTGATCTCCAAGCCTGGGGAACACTGGGTATTCCACCTCCAGAGAGTAGTCCTACTACACAACCTCCCATGCAGAGCTGGTGAGAAGAAACCTACCAGTCCCTGAAGAGGTGCCCAGTTGCCATCTCTCCCCCCTCCTGCCCCTTTGCTATTTTGCAGAAGGAGGCTGTGGGATGCCAAAATTAAACATACTGTACCTGAGAACTTGGAGAAATTTCGGATAGGCATGATGCGCTGGCGTGCTCTATTCTTGTTTTCATCTTCATAGATCAGGATAATGGATGGAGGCTGAAAGCGAATGCCACACTTCTTTGCAACATAAGTCATCCCAGCTCATGCTACTGGCTGAACAAAATTAAACCTTACATAGCTCTACTAGGTGCGTGCTTCAATGTTCACTGCAAAAGAAAAAGGAAAACATGAATTAAACTGATGCTGCTCTTTATTTTAAGGGTGGTTTCTGATCAGGGTTATAGCAGTCCTGACTCAGAAAAGCACTTAACCCTCTGTATAAATCTGAATATGTGCTTAAATCCTTTGCTCAATCAGCCCTGGGGGGGCGGGGTGTACAATAATACCCAACTGTTGATTTCCAGATTTGTCAGCTCTACATCTGAGTCTGGGTTGAGGGTACCACATAGCCAAATGGAGGCCCAAAGATTTCTTTTTACTAAAAAAATGGAAAATATCATACAACGCATCAGTGCATTAGAGACTTTTTCATAAACAATACTCCACTGCAAATTACAGCCACTGATCTGGAAAAGCTCATAGTTATTTAACCATTTAAAAACCTTTTTTTCACCAACTATTTTAATTTCTTGCTATTTATGACAGGTTGGATTAAAACCAAGGCACAAGGTTTGAATTAAGGAGAGGAGACAACTTGACTCTGTAAGCAAAGACTGAATGAGCTCTCCCCTGACATCCAGTGGTGAGCTGTGGAAAAAGACTTCAGATGCTGATCTCGTTTGCATGGACACACCCACCCTGCATAGGTGCTCAGCATGATGGGACTGCTTGCCCAAAAGATCACTTGTGGCTAATGTTGGATCCCCAGTCTCCTTGTTATTGGGGCAGGAGTAATACAGGGTTGTTATCCTTGTTTTGTGAACCGATGGCAGCAGAACTGTATGTGGCATAACCCCAATGGAGGGACTCACCCTCAATTGAACAGCACTCGCTAGGCAGGGGACATGGGTTCCAAAGCTCAATGACTTAAAAGGGGGTGGGGACAGGTACCTGTATTTGATGGTGTGGGTTCTAGACACTATTTGACACCTTTTTCTTGTTCTGGTATAATAAAAGAGCTTATTGAGGCCTGGTCTACACTACGACTTTAATTCGGATTTATCAGCTTTAATTTGAATTTACCCTGCAACCGTCCACA